AGACGCTGAAACTAGATCTGGCGAGGATTTCAGATCGTGAATTCTCACCTTATCCTGATCTTCATCATAGCCGAAAACAACTTTCAAACAGTGAAGAAAACACAAGGATATTTTGCATTTCCGGAAATTTAACAAAACAGTGGAAAGCGACAAACTAACCCTTATATCAACATGAATCTTTTTCTTTTTAGTGTTATTCCTTTACGTTTATTTCACGCATATTAAAGCAGTTCGCATCATTGTTGGTTGCATTGTAATGGCAGCAGGTCTCCTTATATCTCTGTATCCAGCGAGGTTGAAAGGATTCTTTAAGTTCAAGGTCAGTTTTCACAATACCGCAAAAGTCCACTGTATTCACGGAAAGGCTGCTAGTAGGAGAAATAACAAAGAGACGACAGCACCCCCTGCAGAGATAGCCCTTTCCGAGCGGCTCGTCAAGCCTGCGCTGTTGATGGTACTAGACTGAGGGTCCTTGGGGCTGGTCGTGGTGGAGGTGGACCTGGTCTTAGTACCGGATTCGGGACATGGTTTGTCCGGAATCGTTTCTTCTGAAATGAAAAAAGAATGGCATAAGTGTAGGCGGGGATGTAGTCAGCAATGATGAAGGGGGTTCTTGTATTGAAATTAGAGACCTTTTTTTAACCCTGTAATTGACACAACTCCTATTCAAAGGGGTCCTTTTCTAGACAGTGGGTTACCTCAGTTTTCAGCCTCAAGTGTATCAGTACCTATAGCGTGTTAAGACAGTGTACCAGTACCTATAGCGTGTTAAGACAGTGTATCAGTACCTATAGCGTGTTAAGACAGCGTACCAGTACCTATAGCGTGTTAAGACAGTGTATCAGTACCTATATGTTAAGACAGTGTATCAGTACCTATAGCGTGTTAAGACAGTGTATCAGTACCTATAGCGTGTTAAGACAGTGTACCAGTACCTATAGCGTGTTAAGACAGTGTACCAGTACCTATAGCGTGTTAAGACAGTGTACCAGTACCTATAGCGTGTTAAGACAGTGTACCAGTACCTATAGCGTGTTAAGACAGTGTACCAGTACCTATAGCGTGTTAAGACAGTGTACCAGTACCTATAGCGTGTTAAGACAGTGTACCAGTACCTATAGCGTGTTAAGACAGTGTACCAGTACCTATAGCGTGTTAAGACAGTGTACCAGTACCTATAGCGTGTTAAGACAGTGTACCAGTACCTATAGCGTGTTAAGACAGTGTACCAGTACCTATAGCGTGTTAAGACAGTGTACCAGTACCTATAGCGTGTTAAGACAGTGTACCAGTACCTATAGCGTGTTAAGACAGTGTACCAGTACCTATAGCGTGTTAAGACAGTGTACCAGTACCTATAGCGTGTTAAGACAGTGTACCAGTACCTATAGCGTGTTAAGACAGTGTACCAGTACCTATAGCGTGTTAAGACAGTGTACCAGTACCTATAGCGTGTTAAGACAGTGTACCAGTACCTATAGCGTGTTAAGACAGTGTACCAGTACCTATAGCGTGTTAAGACAGTGTACCAGTACCTATAGCGTGTTAAGACAGTGTACCAGTACCTATAGCGTGTTAAGACAGTGTACCAGTACCTATAGCGTGTTAAGACAGTGTACCAGTACCTATAGCGTGTTAAGACAGTGTATCAGTACCTATAGCGTGTTAAGACAGTGTACCAGTACCTATAGCGTGTTAAGACAGTGTACCAGTACCTATAGCGTGTTAAGACAGTGTACCAGTACCTATAGCGTGTTAAGACAGTGTACCAGTACCTATAGCGTGTTAAGACAGTGTACCAGTACCTATAGCGTGTTAAGACAGTGTACCAGTACCTATAGCGTGTTAAGACAGTGTACCAGTACCTATAGCGTGTTAAGACAGTGTACCAGTACCTATAGCGTGTTAAGACAGTGTACCAGTACCTATAGCGTGTTAAGACAGTGTACCAGTACCTATAGCGTGTTAAGACAGTGTACCAGTACCTATAGCGTGTTAAGACAGTGTACCAGTACCTATAGCGTGTTAAGACAGTGTATCAGTACCTATAGCGTGTTAAGACAGTGTATCAGTACCTATAGCGTGTTAAGACAGTGTATCAGTACCTATAGCGTGTTAAGACAGTGTACCAGTACCTATAGCGTGTTAAGACAGTGTACCAGCACCTAAAGCGTGTTAAGACAGAGAAAAGAGGCAATCCAGGAAATCGCCCCAGATCCCGGCCTTCTTGGTTAAGGCTCCAAGAAAGGCTTCACAACTAACTGCAAACTAATTTTATTGAATTTAAATCCTCCGTTTAATAACTGAATGTGATAAATCTGGGTTTTCTGTGAGTGCCTATGCCTGTTATATTGTTTGTTATTTGTAAGGTAAGCACGTGTGTAGAATTGTGGCTTCGCTAGCACAGCCAGAACGGAAATTCGAAGTTACTTTGAACTGACATCTTCGCTGATGGATTCTTTTTTGTACTTTATGTTGTTGACAGCTTCAATATGCCAGGCAAATATATTGTTTTCCATGTATGTGTCAGTGGTGTTTGTGAATATTGGACGTGTTTGAAAATGACAATGAAGGGAATACTCGTTATAAAATAAAATAAAATATTTCTACTGGAATATAAGTCGTAAAGGTAACAACATCAATGGTAAGGAGACTGTCAAGGAATTGAACATTTAGAAAGATGCCAACACAAGTGCACACATGTTTTTGTTTATGTTATAACATCATAATAAGAAATGTTTCACATCACTGCTAAAATTAAGGGCAATGTTTCTTTCTTTTTTCTCTTTTCCTTTGCTTTGGCTAATGTCGTTTCTGTCAAAGTAAAATGAAAAATGAATGAAATATTGTGTCAGCTCTGTGCGGTGTAATTTTACGGTTAACAGAGAACTGAGACGAGCGGCGGGTCTTGTTCTGCCCACCTAAAACACTGCTTGGCGGTGAAATGGAGGAACTTGAGACATAGTTCAATCGCGTCTGTTTCTTCACAACATACCGCAAATGATTTAAATTATTACTAGGTAATGAGTGTGGAATAGCGTAATTGGGCGGAGGGTATTAGCACTGGTTTCAATTGTTTCACAAAGGTCTATAGTACATTAGCGTAAAACTGTGGGTTAAAGGTCAAGCAGACATGGAAACAAATGGCTCAGGACGGAAAATTATATGTTTACGTAGGAGTAATATGTGGGTAACTTGGAGGACTGCAGATCGTGAATGTTCCGATTTTTTTTCCTTTTAAATATCTTCGTGCTTTTTGCAGTAATAAAGACTGATTTACTTTAAAATCTAAGCGTGGATTCATTTTTCGACGTGGCCAAAGATGGATGAAAGCCCCCCCCCTCCTATAAACGAAATGGCTGATTTAGTTTATAGTTCCCGATCAAAATTTTCTCAAAGCTTTCGTTGGTAGTAAGACGGGGCCAAACAATTCAACTTCTTTCTATTATTCATTTCACAATAAACTCATCAATGTACGTGAAAAAAACAAGTGGAGCTACTCAAGGCATAGGGGTGTACCTATGCCGCGAAATCCTCCATGAAAACGACATTGTGATATATTTTAGATACTTTTCTTTCCACAATGGCATGAAAGAAGTTAACAATCTCCCTAAGTGGAGAGAAGTTTACAATCGCCTCATACATGTAAGTGTTTGTGTTGTCGTTAATGGATGAAGCCCTGACACCGAGTACTAGCACTCTACAACGCAGTCAGGACACATCTCGGGACGTACGGGATCAGTCGGTATTAAGACATCAGACCACTGTACGGTTGACAGCGGGCTCAGAAATAGATCTACCTTAGAAGTGAGAACTTTCCTTTTTGTAAATAAACCGAGAATACAATACTTTAAATACTTGTAAAAACATCGGCGGGCGATTTGTAGTAATGCTGTTTTATACGTTATAAATATATTTTATGTGTAAGAAATTATCAGTGAAGACCCCTTCTCTCTCTCTCTCTCTCTCTCTCTCACACACACACACACACACACACACACACGCGCGCGCGAAGACCCCTTCTCTCTCTCTCTCTCTCTCTCTCTCTCTCTCTCACACACACACACACACGCGCGCGCGCGCACGCGCACGCACACACTGACATACAGCCTTCGTAAGATAAATATAAAATCAACATTCTTAGTCATATTTTTGTAACATGGCGCCTTGAAGTTCATCTGCCCCTCTCTGTCGTTCTGTCTTATTTCGTAATGATACGGCAGAAGGCAATCTTAAAAGCTACAGGTGGTTTTTCTTTTTCTTCTATACCTACCAAGTGCTTAACGTCTCAATCGGGCGGCTGGAAACTTTCGGATTGAAAAGAAGAGTGATAATCTTCGAAACATTACGAGTAAGGCAATTTAAAATCGTCACAGGTGGTTTCGCCTTGCGCATTGTTATATCTAATAGATATAACCCACTATTTTGAACCTATACTCAGGCCGTTTTATGAGAACAAGATTCATTTTTGTCACCCAAATATATCAAGGTCAATGCCCATTTTTCTCAAAATTTTTTTGTCTTTGCTGCCTTCATCTGTGTGTTAGTGATGTATTTATGTGGTTAAATGAATTTGAGAAACCCTTTATGAATACTGGTATTAAATAAAGTACGTTAATTTACCATAAAGTATGTGAACATACGGGTATATTTATATTCCGCGCAGATCGTCATCACGTGATATCACTTTACCAGAAGGAGGCCTCGCGATTAGACTGAAACGTAATATACATGTAGTAGCCTCAGTGTCAACCGCAAGGTTTGGTACGAGAATCAATGACAGTCCCTACCTTATCTCTGCTTTAAAAACAACCAGATGATCACATTGTATTTTTCATTTTGATATAAAATTAAGTTTGTGCCCGTATGTGTAGTTTCGTCTTATGGAATCTACAGATTATCGTAGTCATCTTTTCTCTTTCAAAAGAGGTTAAGATGACCAAGAAAGCGGTGAAACAGATACACGACAGCTGTTATATTAAACAAACATTTATTGCATACCATTTTACTTCTACCAAAATAAGTCAAGCGATAACGTAGTTAAATGTGACTATCAACAATCTATAAAACTCTTTTCAAACTTGAATTATTTCTCTTATACAGAATTATCCTTTTTCCTCAAATATTTTTTAATCCCTGAATATTAAATTCTCAAAGCACAAATAAATATCTTTAATGAACGTAGAAAAAAGATCGGCATGAAAACACCTAATATACATGGACAAGCAAATTGTTTGAACTCTTACATGTATTTGACTTGCGTTTTACAAAGCCCTGTGTAAATAAAGCGTGCGAAGTTTAGCAAACTTTATTCCGAAGATTCTTAAAACCATGAATACCAGTAAATGAAATGTGAGCTAAAATAATGCGTATTTTATCAGCTCTCCAAATTTGCCATACATATTAAATATAACAATAATTTTTAAACGCAGCACTTCTAGTCTGCTGGTCAGCTATACTATATAACAGTCTCAATTATACGTTTTCATGAGTGGTTTGTATTTGTGCATGGACAATAACATATTGAAAACCACCAACTTAAATAACAGTTTAATGTCCTAAAACTGAATTTGTAAAAACACGCACTCAACTGCGTAACGTTTTTTTAACTTTCCCGTAATCCATCGTAAAAATGTCCCGACTTCTCACTCTTTAGATCAGTTTTTAACATCTTGCAATAACTACTATGCAGCACTAACTAGTAATAAATATAAGCTAAACTCATGTATATATATTGCTGCCGAAACATTTTATTTTCATGTAGACCAAATGCTTATTAAATGTCACCGTTTTCGACATAATTTGACTTTTTCTGTACCTGACGGAAGGCTGCACAGACCATTACACTGCATTTTACACAGGTAATTACTCCATCTATAGGCCGGTTTTGTAACGTTTCTCAATTGTTGTACAGGCAATGTATTCCACGAGAACCTGAATTCGTTGATGCCGTCAATATTTCAGCCAAACAGGAAATACGTAGGAAACCGCCACCTATCTGCTATCTTCGCGGCCAGCTCGCGCTGGAGTGATCACGTGACTGGGGGTGTGATCGCTCGTCTTATGCCTATTTTCTCATCTTTCTTGCCAGTCTTTGAGGGTTGTAGGGAATCACGCCACATGTTCCTGACCAGGAAAGCGATCGATTTTTATTCCTTCCACTCCAATTTTCACATCGACCTTCAAAAAATGAATGAACTTCTCCAACAATCCCGCACTATAGTATATTAGTACGAGTTGAGTGAAATGACTTGAATATATCATATAGATACAACATTTAGAAACGACTTTGTTTCAAATCGAGGTAGGCTCTTTTGGATGAGGAACTCAGCCCGCTATGTTGTGTCTTGTGGGTCAGGGTGAAACTGAACCAACAGGCTTTGAACGCCAACCGAACGTCAATTGTTGACGAACGGTGCATAGCCGAATGAACAAAACTTGGACCTGCATCTACGCAAAATGCAACAACTGGAAGACGCTCTGTGACCATGTCACAATTTGCACCTATTGGAGTCTATTTAAGCTCGAAAAAAATGAAGTTTAAAAAATCTTGATTCCAAATTTATCTGCTGCCTTACTTTTCTTAGATGCGACTTCCACTGGGGTTTTGGCGGTCTAACAGTAAGAGTATGCGTTAAATCGTTATAAAATTTCAAATATTCTTTGCTAATTTTACATAAATATATTTGATACAAAAGGACCTAAATTATATAATCTGCCTTCCATAATGGATACTTTGACCTCAGTTTTCCACAACTACGGTATTTCACTAACTTAAAGGAGCAATGCCACATGGCAAGACGCACACGTTACTGTGAGGGGTAAAAATAATGAGAGACTTGAGCCAGTGAACAGCCACGCAGTGATTGAAGACGATATCACTATTATCATCCGGGAACTTTGCTCAGCACAGTTCCAGTACATACCGATCTGGATTAATGTGTGAACGACATATTAAAGTGAACTTAAACTTGACTCAAGCGTCTCATTACACGGAACCCAAAACACTAACTACATTGTAATATGTGATTCACGATGATAACAAAACCATATCTTGATAACACAGGAGATCATCTTCATCACTATCGCACTGGCGCCATCTATCGTGTATTCATCAATGCCTCACAGCGGGCGTCAATGTCATCAAAGTTTATAATAAATGTAACCGCTAACAGGTGGTGCCCTCTTCAGGTCTCGCCTCCTTCCCCTCCACATTTCATGTTCTGTGCTGTCATATACTGGTCATACTGATGTTTCCAGTCCACGATATACCGAGTGCTCCACTCATGAAACTGCTCCTTCCATTGTCTTTCTGCTTCGTGAATGTCCTCTACAATAGCAAAATAGTGGACGTATTAAAATTGGGTCACTCTTCAATAACTTTAAAACAAATTTTGAAGATAAAGAATTCAGAACCGAAGGACGTTAGATTTTCGGAATTGCAAAAAAAAAATCCTAATGTCTTGCCATGATCATCAAAAGAAGCACCAAGCATTTTTTGTTTGTCTACGGCCCTGGCAGGCACGTAAATGATATAATTCTTTTTGGGGATTACATTTTGCGACCTACTTTCAGTTTCGTTTTAACAATAAGTTATTATTTTAAAGTTCACATTATTGAGTTCTAAAACGCTCTTTTGCACTCACGTTATCTAAATATTTTTAAAACTATCCTAAAGATTCGTTACTTTGGCAAATTTCACTCAGTTTTCTTGTTTATCTCAGATTGTTGAGTGATCAAAAACAAAAACAAAACATTCTCTTTGTTTAAACACATGTTGCCAATAGCTTCTTCATTCTGTTTACTTAAGATCCTACATAAATGCTATAAGTGCAACTAATTAAAAGTTAGTAATTAAAGCAATTTTACTTCAGGCTTTACTCGTGCAAATGGGAATTTTAGGTGGATGAATAAAAATGGTTCTAGAAAAGTAATTGACATTAGCTTCTAAGGCCCTATTCACATCTAGCGGTACCTTTAACTGGTCTTTGACGGTTCTAACATGTTACTACAGGGACCTTTACTGCCAGTCTTTGAAAGTGGACCGGTATATTTAAATGTACCGCTGGATGCCAAAAGGGCGTTAATTTACCTGTTGTTAGTAACTGTTCCTCAACTTGAGCGATGTTAGTCGTTAAGCCTCGAGTGCATGTCAGAAAAACAGGAAGAGCTAGCCACGTTTTGTGGCATATCCTCATGCAGCGGTGCTCGTGCAATACTATTGTTCATCTACGCAGAAAGTTCGAAGCCATAATATGCTAGCAAGAAACTTGGGAGGCGGGGTTACTGTTTACCACGTGAATATCCGTGAAGCAGTTGTCCACACTACTACATGTACATACCCGTTGTCACGTCTTTAACTTTAAGTTAAGTATTATAAGGTCGAAGGACGTAAGTTGCATAAGACAGTCAATTAAAAAACAAAGCTACATTAGCGTATCCGGTGTCTGTGCGTCCACTCTTTCCGATTCAATCGGTCAACTCTACCCAAGCATATATTTGATAGCAGAGAGGAGAAAAAAGGGCATGTACAATACTATAGTTAAATGCAAATCGACATTTTATGAAAAAATGCACAATTATCGCATTGAACTTGAGCAAGCAAGGTTAGTATGGTATATTATTGAAGCAATGCACTGCAAACCCTATAATCGCTCACAGAAAGCGATGGATAAGCGGTCATTTTCGTAAGATAATTAACTTCACGGAAATGACCGATTGTTGCCGAACTTACGTGTATCTACGACGAGTTTGGGTAGATAATGCTCCCAGAATGCACAGTGTTTGGCCCGAGGACCACGCCCCACTGCCCGCTGTTTGTCGTACAGATACTTAGTGTTGAGTTCCAGGTATTCCTTATTGCGAACCGTCCTCTTCGGCCAGTCGCTCTTGATCTCGCCGGATGGAAAATGGTTGGGGTTCCTGTGGAATAAACAACAACAATAATAATAATAATAATAATAATAATAATAATAATAATTATGTTGATAAGCATAAAATCGATGATGTTAATTATGATTGTACTTCTCCTCTTCTCCTCAGCTGCACTGCTAGTAAAAACCTACAAAAACGCCGCATAACTTTTTATTCTATTCAATGACTAACACACCAAACTGCTAGTAAAGCGCGGAGTATGTTTCATACTGTATAAATTTTGAAGCAAGTTATCGTTGCTCACCCTAGTAAAATCTAATTTGGAAAATAACACCAAGCTACTCATAGGACTCGCGGAATTCAGTTAGATACCGAAACGCACCTGTAAATTTAGCCATCTAAAATTAAAAAATCTCCTCTCATCGGTTTCTCACCACCCTGATTGTGAGAGAATACTGAACAGCCATCTCCATCTCAAAGGCATACCCCCTATATAGAGGTGAGTGGCCTCGGACACCAGGGTGCTTCTCACACGCTAACACATTAAATATCACTTAAGAAGCACGCGTCAGTGACCACCTTAATATCAAAAATATCTCTTATAATAGCGCCAGGCTTGAGATCCAGTAATAAAATACTCGAGCCGTCCCAGGTGTGGGGTTCAAAAGCAATTATTTCGTGCAATGATCTTAGGTCTTCACCAGCGGTCCCTTCACCTGCCACGTTAATGATTTGATATTCTAAGGAACAGATTCTTTGGATCGGTTGCACGCTTTCCGGCACCTGTATGTTTCTTGAGGTGATATATTTACCAAAGCCCACCTCCCCATATTTTACATAGTAAGTTTAGCTATTATAACAGTGGCACTGAGGATCAGATAGCCAAATAATAACCTAATCAGGTTCCGTTTTTTTCACGGCTGTCGAGTTGTGTTTTTATAAAAGTGCTTGCAGCCTCTTGTGAAACAATCATCTACGTAGACAGATTTTAAGATATCAACTCTCTCTCTCTCTCTATCTCTCTCTCTCTCTCTCTCTCGACATAAAAGAACTGAGTTTCACACTCCAAACATTTTCAGGCTGGATATTTCATGGGCAATTCACCAATAATTAGAAGAAATATAGATATCTTCACCACAACTGGACTACAGTCATCAGACTAGTGGATTTTTACTGTAAATTAATTCATCTTCCATAACGGCACCCTGTCTATTCATTACATTATACACTTAGGAAAACTAAAGCAATTTCTGATATATGTTATATCCAATGAAATGACAAAAGTTTAGACAACTAATTTTGTATTATATTTATAATCGCGTACTAGTCATAATACCAAGTTAAATTGTGTCACAAAAATAATCAACAAAAATGGACTTAACGTGTCAATTATTTAAAGCTGAAAACTTCAGTGCTGGGGGGGGGGGGTATATCCAGTGTCATTAGCATCCATATTCTTGACAAGTATGACAACTCTGTGTTAAATGAAAACATAAAACGGCTGAACATGTTCATCAGGTCAGTTTTTCAACGTGTATGTACAATTGATAACTTACAACTTAACGGAAACGTCAACACGAAACGTTAATACGAGCGTGTATCGAGATACAATCATCAACAATCACCCAGCAGACTTGGTTACAGAAATTAAGAGAAAACGCGCTAAAGGTTGAAAGGGGAAGAAGCAACCCCGGCGGCCGTTCGTGTTTATTTTTCTTATAAAGCCAAAGCAGTGGCGACAGACTAGAAAACGATATATAAAACTTGAATAATCCGACACGTCTAGGTATTAAATTTTGTTGATTGTTGACACGGTATGTTACACCTGAATCACTTTGAATGGAGACTAATAAATCAATTAACTTGCAATCGGGATTTACAATCATCGACTCGGTAAACTTCGATCTAGTGCTTGTTAAATAAATCTCCGCAAGTCTTGCCTTTGTTTATTGTTTACTTATGAATTTTCGGCACGCGGTGGAGCCTCGTGTAATTTTAAGTAACTACACAAAAGTGTTGCATGTACGCTGAAAACGTAAATAAATTAACATTGTGCAGTATGGACATCGTAATTCTCTTATTTTGTTTACATTTATTACGAAATATGTGTCGATCTAATCAAAATATTTCACTTTATGAAGCAGTTGTGAGAATGTGTAGTTTGTGATTAACAGCCCACAAATATGTGAAACACTGTATATTTTTCATTAATTGTTTTAATCTAATTGCAATATTCTGACATTATTTTTGTTTATTTTGTCTATGAAAACAACTGACACCGTATGTAACATATGTATGTAGCATGCAACCTGCTGGCTTTGTAATACTACACAATTTGAGCATCACAAACTTTGTAACATACCCTACACATCTTCTCATATATACACATGAAAAGAGCCTGTGCTCAGAAATCGAACCGTGTCACTGTTCTAGTTACCCATATTGTTGACGTACATTGTATTGATACTGGGACTGTTTTGATAGCAATATTACTAAAATTTCCCTCTAGCTAGCGGCCAGTAACTGGACTCCGTGTAGATGTCACCATAAGTGACTGCCACGCGCTGGTGGTCACCTGATGAAAACATCAAAAACTGTAACTTCTTTATTTCACAAGTGTCCAATTAAAGCACTTGATACTTTACATGAGCGGCTTGTTGTAGGTCGTGTTGTCTCATCTTACTTTCCATTCGCCCGATTTCTCACGTTTTTATTAATTTTCAGTTTTATATCAGCATCAGACCTGTAGCACTAATAAAACAATCTACTGTCACTCGTCATAGTGCACTATAGATTTAAATCACAGTCCACTAAATCCACTAAATAACCCTCACCAAGGCATGGGCCTGTTCCGCCTATAAAAAACACCAATATTGCTCGAGACTGATATATTTATATAAGATACATTTTTTCTGTCATGATAAGGAGGATGTGAAAAAAGCAACAGACTGCCATACAGTGAGTAACGGTCTTATAGCAATAGAGACAAAAATAAGCATAAACCATGTTGGACTCAGGCACTTTTTTCCCCGGCGAACACAAACAAGATACATTTTTAGTATATTGAGTCTATTTAAGCTGGTGTTGATATGGGCTGTGTTTGGCACGGTCAGGTAGGGTGAAAAAGGTGTATTTAGTCAGGTGTTAAAGGAAAACAACAATGTGCATATTTCATGAAGAGGATCGTATAACCTTCTAATGTCAATCAAGATACAGGGGTACAGAAAATACAGGGGTACAGAAAATACAGGGGTACAGAAAATATAACCTTCACATGTCAATCAAGATACAGTGTGGCTGGTATCTACTATCTCAGTGTGGCTGGTATCTTCTATCTCAGTGTGGCTGGTATCTACTATCTCAGTGTGGCTGGTATCTACTATCTCAGTGTGGCTGGTGTCTACTATCTCAGTGTGGCTGGTATCTACTATCTCAGTGTGGCTGGTATCTACTATCTCAGTGTGGCTGGTATCTACTATCTCAGTTTGGCTCGTATATACTATCTCAGTGTGGCTCGTATCTACTATCTCAGTGTGGCTCGTATCTACTATCTCAGTATGTTCGTATCTATTATCTCAGTGCGTAAAGCTTCTGTTACTCCTGGTTGGCGATTGCTAGAAAAACTAATTTTCGAGCACATTCACCCCTTTCAAAGTTGGCGCATTAACAATATTTGACAGTCAACATCAAATTCTTACATCCTTGTTAGTTAAATTTTAATATTGCAAACCTTTCTTTTGTTACATGTAAATGTAGCCCTCTTAAGTCCAAGAAAATTGAACTGTTTTAAACCGGGACACACACGTATTAGGCCACTTAAATATGATAAACAAATGCCTTGTGAATTGGTCACAAATGTGAATCACTTTGGGTCTGAAACAAATTTGGGTCTGAAAAGCAAATTTGTTGTCCTGAAAAAAAAAACAACTTTTTCTCTTTTGTGAAACATGACCCCCCCCCCCCCCCGCCCGCCCGGTAGTGGCTACATGGTTCCTGACAACCTGAGAGGCATTATACGCTGAAGTGTGGATTAATAACCAACTCACAGGTAACTTATACTCGATAGATAAGCATTTGGCTGATTCTAGCATTGTGGGCGAGTACATTCATATAAATAGGTTTGGATCTACTTTGTTTGCTCTTTATTTTGAAAATTCATGTTGATTTAAGGTATCATTTCAACCGCATTCTTATTCCTGTTGTTTTACAAATTTGACACGGGAAGAGAGAGAAAGTACGTGTGCGTGTGTATTACAGCTATAGTATGAAATGCAACACGGTGGAAAAACGAAAACATAATCCTCGGTTTCCTCACAAGAGGTCGTTTTCTTACACGTTGCATACCTCTCATAATATCACGTTTTGCACCTTGTTTGTCTTTTATCTGAAAAAAGTTCACACGTTTCATTTATGATGATTACCATTTATCCAGTTCTTGAACAGATAAGTCAGTGTGGCTATGTCTGGTGATCAGGATATTGCCTCAATTTTTTATGTTACATTTGAGTGTGTTTTGACCTGCACACATTGGAAAAGAAACAAATTCTGACTTTCGCTCTCCTTCTTAAATAATATGTAATATAAGCTCTCTGTGAAGCGGGTTTTGATATTATTTTCGATAATCGGAACAATGTACACAAATAGGGTTTCCAGTTTTCAAACCCTTGCTCCGACATGTCACCTTATTAGAATTGTATTCTATTCTTGTACCCACAACATCCAAATGTAATTTTTTTCCCGATGAAATATCAAAGCCATAGTACAAACAATTATCATCGATATCACAGATAGCTTCAGATAGCTTCATTTTGTCACAAAACAACGCCTATTCCTATTGTGGCTAATCCAACATGCGAAAAGAACTTTTTCTAGGGGTTCAAAAATCCACCACAACCTGTGGATAGGGTATGTTTGTAATAGGTGTAATTAATAGTAAGGCTAAATGTCCCTAGGGGGATAACTATAAAGATAAATATTGTTTCACTGGATACTATTATTCCAAACATTTGTCATGTAACCCCGGGGACAGTTCCGTCACGCTGTATCACAACACAAAAGCAGAGATCTGACCCCGCCCGGGGCTGGTAACATAACACTCAGCACTCGGATACAACGAAAGCCTAAATCCCGCCCCAGATAAAAAGAAATATAATCGCAATTTTCTGCTTCGGCACCTCTGCGTTTGTAAAAAGGGTGACAATTTGTCAACCACGCACCGGGTTTGAAAACATTCATTTCGTTCGATCATAAATCAAATGAAGTGATTTCAGCGAGTATTAACCCGACATCTTTCCTTAGAAGGCCAGATACAGTCCTGCGGATTCAACATTATAAAAAAGGAAATTATATGTCCTGATAGCGACATAATCGGAGTGTGATAACAATATTTCATGCACCAAGCGTAAACTTAATTATACAAAGAAACCATGGCAACCAAGCGTCACGTGCTATAGATCGCGTGCACCAACGTCACTATCGGGGGCTGAAATACTTGTTGATGTTCCTTTCTAAAGTAACCAGCATTAAACTTTATAAAACGGACAAAATGACTGCCCATTTTCAGATATTTCCCATCCAACTCGATTTAAATTTCATTTGGTCTTTTCTCACGTTTCTTAACCTTTAATTTGTTGATGACGCTCCAGTAAATTGCTTCATTCACTGGATACAAATGTCACCACCAACCAGTGAATTACCTATCGTCATGCGCAGTAGAACTATACACAAGAAACAAATTTTGAAATGTTTTTGTTTTTTGCCATCAGAAAAAAATTAATACAAAAGGATTGTGCACATAATTTCAGTATTATATGAGAACTAGGATTGCCTAAGGTAGTAGGCACTATCATGTCTTCATGGTTTGACTGTCTGGTCCATATTCATACGCCAGAGTAATTGCTTTTCTCTCAAACTGAAACTCGGATAGTTATTTCCTCGTTCCGCGGTAGAGAAAAGTGCTATCTGAGAGTTCTCAATGTTATTTTTCGTGAAATAAAATTTTCAACTACACATTTAAAAGTAGTTTTATGAGTAAATGAAAATGATAAAGGTGCACTTACCCAGTTTTTGCAAAATTCACCCAATATTCCATTATTTGTTTGCTAAGTTCCCTTTCTTTTTCAGAGTATTTTAAAGCAGGATTCAGGGGCTCTCCAAACACATAATTCACTTCATCCGCGTGCATGACACCCATCCATCTTGGCCAGGGATTCTGGGAAGACCGATGTGAGAAAAAATAATAGTAGACATCCTGGCCCGCTTCTACATACGAATCCGCGAATTCATTCACTTGACAGAGAAAATGCCAGTCCCCAATAGCATCATTCACAGCGTCCAGATGTTTATACGCATCGTCCGGGTTAAGCCAATGTGTATATTGGAACTTAATAGCCTCCAAACCGAATTTGTTGATCGTCGTTCGAAACTGAGGGTAGAAATAGAATAGATTATTTACGGCGTTTGAAAATTGCTCTTGAGTCAGTGCCCCACGTTCCGTTAGGTTGAGATACTGTGGAAGCTCATAGATAGTGAAATACGAACCCTCGTCCGAATTACTCCCCAGCAGAACTGGGCAGTGTTTGAAGTTTTTATCTTCTAGAGACTTTTGCGGCCTTTCAGTGAAGAAAGTGCCATCTACAATAGGGACAAAGGGAAACTGCATTGGTCCTGTGGTGACCCATTCCATGTCCTTGAAATGTTCAGCTGGTGCCTGCCTTAGACAATCAACAATTTCTTTGATATCACTAGAAACCTTGCAGTCCATAAGATCTGCAAGTTGTAGACCCCTTAACATAGCCTCTTTGCTGGAGTATGTAGCCCAATCCATATTCGCCGAACCGCTTTCCATGATAGCGCGACTGAACTTCCCGCGACTCAGTGGTGACAGCAGGTGCATGCTCACGCTCACTGCTCCAGCGCTTTCACCAAACAGTGTCACGTTCCTTGGATCTCCCCCAAAATGGTGAATATTTTCCTGAATCCAAGACAAAGCAAGAAGTTGGTCAAAGAGGCCAGCGTTTCCTGGCGCCTCCGGGTGACCAAAAGCCAAGAAGCCTAGAGATCCTACTCTGTATTGCATAGTAACATATATAATATCATGTTCAGCTACTAGGTACTTTGGATCATAAACGTCTAGAGTATAGGTACCGCTGTAAAAACCACCACCAAAGATCCAAACAAGCACAGCTAGATTCCTCCTCGGTGTTTTAGTCCTGGGGGCCCACACACTCAAATACAAGCAGTCCTCACTCACAGGGGTATTGGGATTCCACATCTGTGACCCGGTAAAATTTCCAAACGTGTTATCCTCCCCTTGCATACACGTGTTCGCATGTTTTGTCGCGTTTAAAATCCCAGTCCAGGGTTTATTGGGCGTGGGGTGTTTAAACCTCAGGTCCCCCACTGGGGGTTCAGCGAAGGGGATCCCAAGGTACATATCTATTGTCTTGCCGTTGACGACGGTCTCAGTTCCCCTGAGGGTCCCCTTTTCTGTCCGTATTAGTCTGTTCCCTGAGGTAATAGAGGGGGAGAGGGAGAAGAGGAGAAAGAGGAGGGCGCCCAGTCTGTAGAGTAGAGTTGTCATCATTGTCACCGTCTTCATCATGGCCGCCTTGACGTCAAGAAACTGGAAGATAAGAGTATGAAAGTTGAATTACGGCGACAATTAAGATACAAATACAATTAAAAGAACCATTCGAATAGGTATATTGTTTTAAATGGAGAAATACATGAATCAAAACACCATAGGGATGCAATACTGCCCCTGCCCCTTTCCATATGAGCCCTAACCCCCTTGTTTGCAGCATTCTGGACTCGCCAGTATATGAGCCCTAACCCTCTTGTTAGCAGCATTCTGGACTCGCCAGTATATGAGCCCTAACCCCCTTGTTAGCAGCATTCTGGACTCGCCAGTATATGAGCCCCACCCCCCTTGTTAGCAGCATTCTGGACTCGCCAACGACACCGACCTAAAACATGAAATGTTAAAGCAACAGAAAGTGCTGGGTTAGAAACAACATAATCCTGTCACTGGATTCGGCTCAGATTATGTCATAATTCATTTTCAGACGAACAGAGATTGTTTGCTATCTTACTGCGAGTTTAAAAATATAATCAGAACATCTTCTTAGGTACCCGCACGAAAACGCAGTAGATGCTCCAGCGCAGTAGACTACTGCAATCATACTGCAAATATGCCTCAAATCTGCTTCGCAATGGGAGCTAATTAGCATATTTGAAACATGCTTCTATCATGCTGCTAATTTACTGCATTAATGCTCCTCCTCTGTACAACCCTATGTAATTTTTGAAGTAGAATTGCAGTAGGGTATACTGCATTTCTACTGCAAATATGCTCCACACCACTACTGCGTTAATGCTTCTTTGCTACTTCGATACTACTACATTTTCGTGCGGGTATGCTCTGCAGCCAGTTAGCCTGCAGACTGCCAAGTGATTGCATTTTTATTTTTTTAAAAATAAGAATTGAACAAAAAGAATAAAAAAAAAATTAGGGCCAAAACAATGCAAATGAAGGTTGAGAAAAGATAGCGCCAGGGCTCATGAAGTTGTTCTTTTTACAATGACCGAGCATTAGTAAACGACTACAGTCAGTGAACAGCTCGTGACCCCTGCTGTATTAACAAGTCCCGGAACGAAAGCAAACATATTTACAGAATGCATTAAATCTTCAAATATTTAAGAGACGTGCTGGGGTAACATTGGAAGTAGCAAAACCGTATAATTTACCCTAACTGAGATCATAAGAACTATTGGCTACAATACAATACGTATAATGACCTGGTAAGTTAATCAGGTAAATGAAGCACCTTGGAGGCATTGAGCCTCAGGTTTTATACCAAGATACTGTTAATAACACACGCGTATTGTGATATACAACCTGACTGTGCACATTATGTTGCAATCAATAAATCACAACTATAAACATTTCATGCACTTAAATTACTTGGTCTTGTAGATTTACTACCACACAAGATTGTTTATCGAGGCAATCCCCCGTCTTTCGCACCTTTTTACCTCTTCTGCTGTAACTTTTCAATAAATTATAGCAGAAGAAAGGAAAATCGAAATAAAAACCTCTACCATGGCAAAAATTTAATGAGTTGTCACAAATATCTGTAACGAATCCAAATATTTTACTCTTGTTTTTAATCATATAAGGATTAGGGAGTAAAACACGGTATTGGATTACCGCAATTACTGCAATTTGCCCATAAATGCCCACTTCCCCCGAATAAAAGTCATGTTTTTAAAAAAGTTAAATGAACATAATGATGTTTGATAATGCTCATTAAAAGTCGAATTGCTGTTGGATAAAATTGGCTTGGTAATGGTGGGACGAAAGTCTGGTCTGAATAATATGTAGTATTCATCTTTGCATAATAATCATGTCACCCTTATTTAACTATAAACAGGACAAAAATGTTTGCTTTGTTCATTTGTAAAATGATTCTTATTCCTTCATTTCGCAGGTTTTACGGTGATTATTGCCATGGATTACAAACGAAGAATAAAGCAGGGGAGAGGTTGAGACAAGAGCCTGGTTTTCGGATTTAAGCCCAAAAAGTTTTGCGTTAAACCAGGTGCAAACACGACCAGAGTGACGTGTCTGGTAATTCTTTGGCAGAGCAACTGGGAGATGTTCCAACACTCCTGATCTCGTGAACCACCGGCGTTGAAAACCGAACCGCTCACCATCACGAAGACGTCCGCTTAGGTAGCGGAACCGGGTTATGAGCGGTAATCGTGCCATTTTGTTTATTGCCCGTGAAGAAAGCGGTGAAAGCCTAAGGTGTCGACAAAGAGGCTGGCGGTGAGAACAACTCTGCCATGAGATTTAATTTGATGGTTTTCGTGTTAAAGATATTTGTATGTTTTTTTTTCTTTTTAAGCAAAGGGCGGCAACTGTTAAGTTAAATTGTTCGCTGCTAGTGCGAAATGCCACGTGGAAGGAACTGCGCTTTCTCAATTACCAATGAACGTGGGGTGAAGAGAATCTACTTGCATGTTAGCAATTGTCGTTTGGCAGTCTTGCACGATTATTTGCGTTTATCTAGGCCCATCTTCAATAATTGTCATATCTCTCAAAAGATTTTCTTGGGTGTTCATACTAATCAAACTATTTTGCGTGTACCATTCACATAACTGAATTTTCAGGTGACTCCCTCTTGCCTCATTCCATTCACTGGACAAAGCAAAATTATATCTTTTCATTTTTCCTTTGGATTATGGAATTTTTAATTATGATACATAGTAAGTTCCTGTTCTAAAATCACGTGCACAATCCAAGATTCGAACAGCCAATCTCTCGAAGTGGTACGCATCATATACTTTGAGAATTAAGGCCCACGTGGTATGTTACTTTGACGTCATACATTGTATCCAAAAAGATTACGTCAGAGGGGAATGACATTTTACTGTGACGTCATATTTAGATTTTCCTTTTCTAGCCAACCAATATCACTGTGTTCCCACTCCACTTGTTGTATTTTGCTACCTCTTTACTACCCTTTACTGAGCGAATAAAAAAGAGAGAAAATGTTGCACCACCAGACACTTCGGGTTTGTTGTGTTTTCAACCAAAATAGATCAACGAGGGGTATATTTAGAGTCCTGTTTCGTGCATAATGTAAATATTTCAGCAACATCTGTTCATAAGGCCTTTTTTGCCATAGTTCATCCTCTTCACCCTAACATTCTCACATATGAAGCCTCAGGCAATAGACAATATTGCCGCAAACCCCGAACATTTTGGTTACACATTCCAAAAAAAGGCACATGTGTTTGCCGCGTGTTCTAGACATTTCCGAACTTAATAACCGACCACCGTATCGACATGATCCAATAATGCTACCTCCAGTTAAAACCCTATTTAAAAGTGGCATTACATAAATAGTCGATGATAAGGGTTTTTTAGTGAAATTTCCATTAAAGTTGTTAAATGTATAATGTCACAACAAGTGTCACCTTTCTTTGGAATGACCTGTCGATAGAAGAAAAGGGTACGCCGATACACTTAAAATTCATGTTTTGTGTGACATCACAAAATTCTGAAGCAGAATGAATTGGTCAGTGATTGAAAAGTCCACGGTCATTGGAAACTCGGTGCACACCTGCCTTCACATACCTGCGACCCAGTGCGTTAACCGCCATTGAAAACCTTTAAGCTATGGGGGACCGCTAGGTCAGCATGCTGCTGGGCTTTAAACGCGTGAATTGCTGCTCGGTCGTCTGGTGACTAAGACACGAACCGGTTCGGGTCAAAGTCTGTGTATGGACCCAGCTTGATATTCAAGTCAGAACTGTTATCGCGGTAACTTTCTTATTAGTCTGATACATAACCGCAAATGTAATGAAGAGCTAGCGGCAAATGTGGCATGGTCAAAAAGCTCTATAGCCACAAGGAACTAATGCAAGGCCAGCACTTTTATTTGAAGATACACACTTTGTTCCTCCAAGCAGTTCGAGATCTTCCATGTGTATCTCCCAAGAGCATTGTTTGGTTCACCAATGACATATGTAATGACTTCTAGTAACGAATGTATTCAATGCACCACAAGATTATGAATACAGAAAAAGATTTTTTAAAATATGTATTCACTTTAAAAAGGTTTCTTAGTTTTCTGTTTTACTTTGTCAAATATCGATTGTTAGTTTTATATGAGAATTTTGTTGAAACCCCCCCAAAACCGATAAAGTATTTTTGATTCCAGTATCATGCACGGTTCGCAACAGTTACTACTTAACAAATTTCTCAGCTGCCGGTTTTAGAGTACTTCCTTCATTATTTCACCTGAGATCTACCAATCAGCACCATTAATGAAGGTGAGGTCATGCCATAAACCAGAGCCTCTCCAGCCTCTTGACCTCAAGTGTCTGCACTTCAAGAACATCCAAGTATCACAACAACTCCGACGGGACGCCAAAACAAAGTGGTAACATTGTTCAACCGCACGCACCTGCTGGCGAACAAGATGGACTGTTTGAGACCGTCTAAGACACAGCCTTGGTTCTGGTTCTAGCTGATGATAAATATGATGATCTGTTTATAATACCGGGAAAAGATATGAAAGTTTATGACATTGGAATGAAATAACCTTGCAAATGAAGCAGGTAGCGTCACATATAGGGTGTTGATTCACTGACCGTGTTTAAAGACATTCGTTTCAATCGTTGTGAGAAATTATTATTTTCTGTATTATTTTTATTCTTATTCTGCCCCCTAAGGACGATTTATAAGATGTATTGCACATTAGGAAATGATAACTAAAAGGCACATCATATTAGCATCGCGACTTTTTTGGTGTGAAACAAGCAAACTGTTGAGTTATGAAAGAAAAGATTGGGCATTCCACGCCAAACATTCGCCTGCTTTGCCTGAATAAACGCGGTCTGGTATCTAGTACATTAGATTGTTTTCAGTGTACAAAAAATGTACGTGGATCATCTCGAACAAGGAAGTTACGGCCACATTTGATCCGTCCAACAGCTACACTTTTAGTTTGCGGTATCCAACACCTGTTTACCGCTTAAGATAAATCAGACAACGCTTTCTTTTCAGATGATTAAATATCTGCGTCATATTTTGTCCGTGATTTGAGGTAGATAATTCCCATCTCCTTGCGCGGTAATATGTCCAGTAAAATAGATTTGTACTATGGATACTCACTACAATATGGATATGTTACTGCAGGTAACGGATATGTATCCTGACTGGAGGTAATCACTTAGTGTACCTGTACCAGCACTAATCTGTGATGTAACAGAGTTAAATGAAAAGCAATATGTCCAGTAAATGAGATTTGTACTATGGATACTCACTACAATATGGATATGTTACTGCAGGTAACGGATATGTATCCTGACTGGAGGTAATCACTTAGTGTACCTGTACCAGCACTAATCTGTGATGTAACAGAGTTAAATGAAAAGCAAGATTTTAAAATAAATTTCATTTTAATCTCGTCACTACCTTGTACCTCAATAAAAATGTCTTTTTTCAAAGGTGAAAACGAAGTTATGCGTTCATTTTCACCTCGCACATCATTTGTGATATGCTCTAAAATAGTTCTACTTCGGCCTGATTCCCTTTCAGCACAGGAAAGGAGAAATCTATCCCTGATCGGTATAAAGCGATAACTCGCCTAACCACCGAGTTAGATTTTCCTAACCAAGAAAACAATGGCTCCTGGTTGTGCTAGGACGTCTGATAATGAGATAGAGGCCGTTCACTGAGGTCACGCTCTCCCCTGCTGTCTACCAATGATCGTGACACTATTTTTTCTTTCTCTTTTGTGCCTTTTGCTTTGGTGGGTTACATGAACTTTTGGGGTATAAGAGCAAGTTAGCATTATTTGACAGCAGTTTTTAAATCCTATGTATTAATTGTGTATTTAAATCCTATGTATTAATTATGTATTTAAGTCCTATGTATTAATTATGTATTTAAGTCCTATGTATTAATTATGTATTTAAGTCCTATGTATTAATTATGTATTTAAGTCCTGTGCCTTTTCCTCCTCAGTTTCAATTAGAATAAATATTTCTTTCCATCCTGATCTAGTACAAGTCATCTTTTCAGCTGCTCGTGAAGAAATCACTTCTAATGTGCATTCTATGTATGAGCTGAATAGATTATTATTATTATTATTATTATTATTATTCTCGTAAAGCAACAGCTTTTCTCAGGCCCATGCGGTGTTGAAGGACAGGAGACACCAAGCGTTCGACAACCTCACATACTATCCTGATAAATTATCTTAAACTCTCAGCAAGAATATCATTATCAAACAGCGGTGTTTTTACGTCAAACGAACACGTCACTACCTGCCAGACGCTCCTAAGTTCGATACAGATTTAAGAACCAGTGACGGCTTAAGATGAAAATACCATCCCTGTTGATTCCTTTTTTTTCATCTCAGTGTTCAGTTAAGTAGGGCCTATTGTACTCTCTCTCTCTCTCTCTCTCTCTCTCTCTCTCTCTCTCTCACACACACACACACACACACACACACACACACACATATCTGCCCCCTCACTTCAGCAGTATCCTATGCCTGCCATAGCTCACGTCTCTGCGCATTTTTGTAATGTTTCATTTTTGCCCACGTGACTCTCACATTGGAATCACCATGTTGTTTATCATGGGTGCAAACTCTCTTCTAAATTTACATTGAGACAATGGCCAAGATATAAATTACGACAGTTTGGAAGTACCAACGTTTGGAGTTAATTATATAATCAACTAAAAACCGACCGGGGCTCGGCGGCCCAAGAGATTGTCCCTGCAGAAGACGCAGGCTCAGTTATTCTTTGACGGTCAGGACCGAAGTATAACGGTGTCCTGTCACCCTGATATTGTGCCCTCGCTGATTTCAGGTCCCTGGTCATGATCGCGTGACTTTAATGTTTTTATTGCAAAGAAAACATCACGCTCCAAGCCACCCACCGAATGTCAATTACACCAGCTACCGCGAGAGTTATTGAATATCACAACATTGGGAACTGTGCGTGAGAAAACAACAGAATACCATCTTTTTATACAATGTTTTATAACTATTGGGGTCTGGATTCTGTTAATGTCTATGCAGATGTTGATAGTTTGTGTGTTATTTTTAAGAAAAAAGGAGGATAACTGGACATTTTCAGCAAAGATAAAATTTAGCACTCATCCAGACAAGTACATCAACAAACGCACGTTTTTCTTTGGATTTTGAAGTGTACTTGATGATAACTGTGTCAATGTACCACATGGCTGTTTTACTAAATAAACCTTTGGTTTTACAAGCTTTGTATATTTTTATCATTTTGTATGGATAATACTGGCAACTGATTTTCTAAACCAGCCACTTCCAAGGACTATAGAAATAACATCGCGTTTTTTTTTTTCAAAAAAGTTTGCGTGTGAAGCAATGCACAGAAATTGCGCACATCACGCGTCAGTCTCGCTCTGTGAACACAGTAATTTATTAAGGACATACTTCAGTGCGCGCTGGGGTGTGTTTGCACAGTTACGGTGGCCTCTAAATACCTCCTCAAATTACAACCAACATTGTATTGTGTTAAGGTGAATGGATAGCACTTCTTCCAATAGTCAATCAACCGTGAACACCAATCCGAGTAGTTTGTTTGAGAGCTATGGTACCGAGGTTAAACAAAACTCAGTGAAATGAAAAATCTGTTATCCTTTGCCGTTGGCAAAGAAGTGCTATTGCACTTAACTACAATTATTTTGGTTCTTTGTTCATTTTTTTTCCTTTCAGTCAGCAAAGTTGCAAAGTAATAACCTGTACGCGATTGCGGGGCGCTACATAAAGAGATTCACGAGAAGCTTTCTTTAAAGGCATACAATAGACATTAAGGCACTTATAGCAAATAAGATTAAAACTGGAAACTTCACTTACTTCCCATTAACACCAAAGTGTGCCCTTTCCAATAATGTTGAACATAATTACTATTTATAAAACCGTTTTGGGGATCTCTACCTCTTTTATGAGAATGTCCCAAAAACAAAAACTCAATGATTCTTGGTCCCGCATTCACTAATAGTCAACATAACATTCTATAGATATAAAAACTGTCATTGACGGCAGCAAACAACACGGCCTCCATGCGTTCTACCAAATACAATCACAAACAGTCACAATATTAATGTAGGCCTACGTAATAGTGTGTGAGGCAAGCTTTGACTTGTGTGTCAGCCCCAAGATTTGTGGTGTTTTGCTGTCCGCAGTTGTCCGTCCTGCAGCATTAGAAACCCTCAGTCGCTTCAAACTAGAAAACACAATCATACGCACCGGGGTGGTTCAACTTTAACCTCACTGTGCTCGGAGACAGGAGACGATTTTCCTCGGGGAACTATTCGTCATTTGTCTTCTGGCTTGTATTGGGCTTATGTTAGAGCATGTGGATACACGTAAACTCTCCAAAGTACTGACACTGTTTTCTCTACTTTCGATAAAAAATCACGAAGATAGCAAAATGTTCATCATTCCATTATGAATAAGCATGTAATTGGGAGCAGTCTTTAATAATAACCATGCATTGCAAGTTGTAAAATGCCTATAATAACTTTCAGTTAGTCAAGAAATACAACATGTACACGTATTTGTTACTGGAGAAGACAACCATGAAATTGTACCTTCAAATAACAGACAAAATCAAAGTTATTACTAGTCATATTTTCAGTGTCTTACAATAAGTGTACTGGGGGGGGGGGGGGGGGGGGAGAACTAACCGCACTGCGAGGTAGATGCTGTGTAACACCTGTAGCCTCATTCATAAAGGTGTCTCGGTCTACACTGACACACTAACTGGAAATAACTCTGAGTGCACAACACAGCTGATGAAATTGTTGGCTTGATTATCTAAATAAAAAACGTGTATAACTACCTGCTGGTCAGCCGTTGGCGAGAACACGTGTGTCCCACCTGTAGACTCACTGTGTTTAAGGAAACGTTGTATGAGGTAGACTGTCCCAGTGTCTAACTACGACCACTTCTACCGTCTACATATTTAGGTGTTTGTCCACGTCAAATGCCAACACTTGGCTCCCTAATATAGACACGTACAGCACGAAGACGGACCCAGCTTTGCGTTAGAGTTTAGCTGCACTGCTTCCTTAGTAAACAAAAACATTTGTTCAGTCATCCAAACTAACAGTACACTATTTCAATCGGCCTTTTGATGCAGCGACCAACACAATGAAGCTAATCCGTGGCTTATTACGCTACTAACTGTCCCTTATTCAACGTGTACCTCTAATGATTTGTATTTACTCCAAGGCTGGTCCATAGCTGGAGGTCGATGTCAAATAAACACAGGTGATATTCAGTAACGTTAACCGCCAGCAAGAGAAGTTACCATCA